ATTCCTCCTTCGAACCCTAGCCGCCAGACATTATAGACACCCATAGATACTCGTAGACATCTATAGACATGAAATCGAAAAATCTTAGATCCGCCCCACCAAACCGTAGATCTCCTCCACCAAAACCCTAGATCTGTAACACCGACGTCACCTGGCCGCAAAAGATGCCACAAAACCGCACCCACGCTGCCATCCCCCCCCCCCCCCCCCCCAACGTCGAGCACGACCAACACCATCTCCAGCCCCTGAGCGTCGCCACCCAATGAGCCCCATCCTCATGACCAACGCCGCTCACCGTCGCCGCCGCCCCAGAGCCGCCGCTACCATCGCCATCACCATCCCTCCCTCCATGCCACCGCCTCCAACACCATAGTGGATTCCATCGTCATAGCCACCACCTCCTCTCAAATCATGGGATGGAGTGTGGCGAGAGATATCTTAAGATCTAGAGAAATAAATCGAGAGATTGAGATAGAGAGAGCGAGACAGAGAGAGAAGAAAAATAAAGATGAAAAATAGATCTGAGAATAAACGTGAATATTGTTGGGATGTGAAGCCCAGGATTCAATGAAAATTCGCAAGAGGTTCTAGATTAGCCGGTTTTAATTTTATTAACATGCTTTGATTAGATTCGTTTAAAGCGGAATAAATCTAATCTAGCAACTTACAGTTTTCGCGAGCAAATCCGTTTCTATCTTCGGCGCACGAACGAGGATCCACGTCAAGCCTTCAACCTTCGTAAAAGTTGCTATCCAGAAATTTCCAGTCCTCTTTCTTCACCGATATCTCCGCGACCATTGATCCGATCGAGAAACCCTTCGGACGGATTGTAGATCTAAGGGTCAGGAAGCTACTGTATAAATTTGGAGCCTATCTGACGAACGGTTGATTTGTGACGAATTTCTTCGCAGGACTGCTCAGAAAATTCGGGAATTATAGTTTGCTCTAAAAACCTATAATATTCTATTGTATATCCCGGATTAATAATTCTTCTAAAAGGGTGGACTTGTACTTGAAGAAATATAAATCTATAATCGAGAAACTTAGAGAGAAAATAAGAAGAGAAAAATATTCTCATCTCCAGAACGTGAATAGGCGTGTAGGAATTCTTTCTCATCAACCTAATCTCTATTATATATAGCACAAGGAATTAGAGTCCCACATAGAGAGGATTACATGGAAACAAATCTCACTCCTTCGATAACTCTATATAGTCGAAAATTGCAGTCCTATGGGAACTTAATTTTCGGCTATATTAATTCCAATATATAATATTGGTTGAACTTTATTTTCTCGATTAATTAGAAAATCCAACGGGCTACAATAGGGACTAAAGGAGAAAATATAAATCGGGCCGGGCAACTAATAATTAATTAAATCCAAACTCTTAAAAGAATTCATTTAATTAATCATTAAATAATTATTTATTTTCCACTACCAAATAATTATTGAACTCCCGTTTATATTCTCAAATATTACATTCGAGCTCCGGTGGATCATTACTTTGATTCTCCCCACATTAAGATATCTTATAACCACCAAATAAATTAATTCACTGCTAAATAAATTAAATGGTTTCTTTTCATGAGTCTTACCCGCCTAACTTATTTGAGTATGCCGGATACGAAATCCACCTGGCCAGGACTTGGCATAAACAAATCTTATAAGCTACTCAAGGGTTATTATCAATCCCATATTTCAGAGATGTGGATTCCTTTCGATAATTAATTTCCACCTATTAATTCTTAATGTCTCTACCCAACGCACCGGGGGCCATTTGACTCAATATAGGAATCTCTCCCATTGTGACATCAAAGTAGAGATCATCAATTAAATGTGTACGTTAATTATCTAGGGATTAAGAGAGTAAGTAATATACTGTCAACTAGAAATAATACAGTTTCATTTATGAACAGTGATGAAACAATTATTTCACTTTGTCCGGTTCAACACATGCCGGATGTGCTAGCACAATAAGTCAAAACAATAACTACAAAAGTTATTCTCTGTTTACTGTGATCAAGACCAATCACTTAAATATTGTGCTACAATCTTTTACCAATGGTTAGTCCATTTCCATCTAGATTGTGAACGTTTATCTTTATATTCTAAACGAACTTTCGAAATGATCTTTCTGTGCGCCGTAGCACACCATCTCGAATACTATTAGAATATTAGACTTATGCTTTTAATTAATTGACAACCAATCAATTAAATGCATTGAATACCCTAGTGCAGATTCTCATAAAATGATAATAAATTATTTTATTAATTCAATAATAAAATTATGAAGCTAAAAGCGAGACTTTTAGTCTACTATCCTAACAATCTCCCACTTAGACTCAAAGACTCGCAGCTCAACATCTCTAACCCATCCATAGAATATATCTATAGGGCTATCATCCGATGTAAAAGCACACATTGTATATCTAGCAGAATATGCAATCGCAAAATTGCATAAACCTCCCACTATACGTTTTCACTTCCTTAGGAAAATAAATCTCCCACATTGATAACATGCTATAGAAAAATTACTATGCTTGACCATTAATTATTGATTCGTACCAAGACTATCCGCCTAGTAAACTAGTATATAATCTTGTATCTTTGAATACTTAAGAATATACTTTACCGCAGTCTAACATACTAGCCTCAAAATAAATTCACATTTGCTAACTATGCAAGATGCAAAGCAAGATTTGAATTTAATTATTTACTATAGCATATGTAAGGCTTCTTTCACAATAAGAACTGCCTTCAACATCTCTATCGCATTATGTGTTCAAAGACACTAATTTCTCGACAGAGTGACTCCATACCTGAAAGAAACAATTCTTTCTTTGGAATTTGTACATGCTAAATTTGGCAAGTATTTAAATCAATATAACTTGTCCGTGACAACTTAATGTCCTATTTCATAGATCCTATAAAATGATCCATACGACATAACTAGTTTCACTCAAGTTATCCATATTGATTTGACTCAAGAAACAATACCCTTACCTAAATAATTTCCAAATCATTTTCTAAAAGGAAATTATTATCTAATACATCTTGTAAGACTTTCACCACGCTTCCGTTACAAAATGTGATATATCTAGATTCCTAATCAAAATCAAAATATTGATTCTATGATCAATCTAAATATCACATGATATGCGCACTTTGCTTAAATTCATAAATGAATTTATTAAGTTTGCATTGCAATGCATATGGCACTAAGCTAAAATCCATTTAATTTGCATCGTGAAATGCACTCGTCAAGAGATACGAAATCTTGACATCCATCTACCAAATTAAAGACAAGGCAGTGATAGATTTTAGGAATTTGAAATAGACTAAAGTGTGGCTACTAGCTAGAAAGTTTTCTCGTAGTCGATCCATTTCTTTCCGACAGAACCTTCTTACTTTAAGCCTAACCTTTTAAAAGGTTTTCACTTTTCTCAGTCTAATCATTTCCACTTTGGATTCTTATAGCACCAAGCCAATTGCTTGCATCTATATAAATGGGCGTTCATTCATAGTTCTAGGAAGGAATTATATGTTTATCAAGAATCTTGTTATCACTAACATTCTATAAACATAGAATCTTACGATTCCATTATGAATCCTCCCACTAGAATAAATCACCCTAAATGTAACACTAGTAACTTAAATTCCTCCCACTGCAAAGTGGCATTGGAATTTCTATACTAGAACACAAGCGAAACTCTTAACGTATTTAGGGTATACTAGAAGACTAAGACAGTCAAACTTCCTTCAAACTTCGTCATTAGGCTATGTAGTCCAAAACATGATCTTCCTTTATGAATCCAACATTGATACAAATCAATGTTTTCTTAACTCTAGGAATCAAAATGGACCACTATTATTTTTCTCTTAATATTCCATACAAGAGACATTTATTTCTAACTTATCTTCTATCAATTGTGTTCTCCGGAAGCATGAATGCTAACTGACTCCAGTTCTGAATAATACACCGATTGTACGTTTAAACAATCTTTAATTCGGCAAGAGTCATTGGATACTAACTTAGAAGATCTTAAGTTCTTAAATAAATAACCGTCTCAAATGTATATATTAGAAAAATAAATAATATTCAATAAATCACGATAAATTAAACCGTCTTCAATAAGTATTAACTATTTTCGTCCCTATATTATATTCTATTGTGGTTCAATTTGGTAAAAACATATCTAGGACAAATCCCTAGTTTAACCAAAATGTCCAATAACTTATACCCATAAAGTTTCGTCATATCAAATGACTTGATATATTTATTCAAATGCTTATCTGTCACGGTCTTCAATTTCTTTAAGACCTCAGATATATGTTGCATAATACGAATATATCTATGTTTCGAGATATCATCAATAAATTAGATGAACTACTCAAAACTACTTAAACTAGGGTATTTGTAGGTCCACATACTATAGAATAAAATAAATCCAAAAATTATTTGATCTTATTTACACTCACTACACCAAAATGGGCATTTTCTAACAGCACTATTTTTTAATTTCTAACAGATATATCTATTAGTAATTTGTAACCGAATATAACCGTTAGAAATAAGATTTATCCGTTACAATTAATGATAAGTTGTTCATATTACTATTTAATAATTAAAATAATATTTCTAACTGTTGTTGTGCGTTAGTAATACTAATAGTGCGTTAGCCTACTTTATAACAATTTAGTAAATAAAGTTTATTATTTATTATTATTATTATTATTATTATTATTATTATTATTATTATTATTATTATTATTATTATTATTATTATTATTATTATACAAATAGAATTAAATTGATGCCCTTATATTTTTCGGTCCCCTTCATTTTTTTTTCTCATATTTTCTCAGTATTCGTCTCTCCCATCGGCATACAACTTCCTGTCTCCCTAACCTTCGATTTCGTTCTCTCGCCTCAACCACCTCTAATGGCGGCCACCGTACGTGTATTCGTCAGGTAAAGTCTATCTCCCTCCCGCCTCTCTCTCTCTCTCTCTCTCTCTCTCTCTCTCTCTCTCTCTCTCTCTCTCTCTCTCTCTCTCCGTCTCTCTTGTTTCTCCTTTTATCAACCATTCTATTGTCTTCTCCTTTCTCAGTCGCCAATTCTAAGTTAGGAATTTTACTGAAGAAACCCTAAATTGGATTTTGTTCTCAAAATTAAATTAAGGAGATTGATGTTTATTTAGGGTTCCGAATCCAAATTTAGGATTCTGTTAATTGCAAAATTATTATTCTCATCTACTTTCGAGGAAGTAAAATTTATTTTCTTTTTAGTCCAGAGATAATTATTCTTTGATGTCGTTTTAGCATCTAATTTGCAATTCTTAGGTTGTTTAATCTTAATCAATGTAATATGTCATTTATTCATGATGTTCTTTAAATTGCGAATTTTCAGAAATTATAAACAACCAACTGCAGGTAGTCTTGGACTTGGCTCTCTTTTGAAGTACATCGTGGTGCAGTAAATCTCTGAAATTGAAATTTGAATTGTTTCTTTTGTTCATTTTGTTTTAGTATGTCTATTTTCCCTTAGATAAGTTATTCTTATTTAATTGCTAATTTTTCATATGTCATTTCAGTATGCTCGTCGATAGCCTTGGGTGTAGAAACCGGATTCATGTTAAGATGAATTTCTCTAAGGTACATTTATTAAATAGGTTCCATGTAGCATACAAAACTGAGGGGATATTTTTTTTCTTGGGTACATGTTCGTTTTGTCGGTTACAATATAAAAATTAATGTTTGTTTGTTTTGTTTTTTGTGGGACAAGATGTATAAATTTAGAAAAAATATAATATTTTGGCCCGGTTGTTGATCTTCTTAAAATCTGCCATAGGGCTGGAGCTACGAGGCTTGTCGACAGAGGTTGTTCGGGTTTGCTTTGGAGGGTAAGGTTTGTAACTTATGATTATATTGGTAAATAAACATAATCATTTCTTTGGTATTAGATTTAGGAGAATTTAAGTTCTCTCCATGGGTTATCTCGATATTATTTGAACGACTATGATATCAATTAGTTGTAACAAGTTTGGATTAATGGTGTTTGGTTACTCTATTTTTGTTGTGATTTTAATTACTCGATGAACATTTTACTTACGTTTTTGATATAAGGATATGATCCTTATTTTTAAAAAGAGCTTCATATTTGTTCTTTGCATATGTTAACATGCAGATATATGGTAGTGGGGTTCTTTCTGTTGGAATTCTTTTACGGTTCGTGTAGATGAGTATATCCACATGATTTCGAGTCATTCTTCATCAACAGGTTATTGACTTAGCATTATCTTACAATATCAGGTAATTGCATTTTTATATTTCTCACATATTTTGAAAATCAACATAAGTTTTTTCGTTTCCTCGAATAGTAATTAAGTAAAGATACCATGTGATTGGTTGACAATAAATTCATCTGATTATATATATTCATTTGAGTTTGACTATTTATGCTATACTTAACAAAGTTTTTTTCCGTTTAAAATTTGTGAGTAATTTGTCTCTCTCCCTCTTTCCTTATTGTCATGAGTTTAATAATTGAGAGGAGTGTTTTTATTTTCTGGTTTCTATATATAACTTTCTCTTGTCAATTTGATTCAGCTCAAAATGCTCTAAATACCAGAACTCGGGGGATCATCCCGGCTCCCGCTATGGGTTATGGCAACTAAGGGATGGTGACGTTAACAACTTGATGGTTAGTGATTCTATGATACCCGGCCTCGTTCAATGGATAAATTATTTTTCTTGAGAGTTGGTTAGTATGTAAATGTGTTTGTATACTCTGTTTCGTATAGATTTACACGAGTCTTAAGGATTTGCGGTACTTGCGCTTAATGTATTGAATGACAGGGAATGATTTGTAATAATGGTTTGTATAGATCATTTTGTTTATACTTCGGTTCATTATTCTATGTAATTTGTTGAGAAGTTATGTAGTAAATTGCTATTCAGTTATATATATATATATATATATATATATATATATATATATATATATATATATATATATATATAATACGATACATATTGTGTGAATTTATTAATTTTTTTTTTGTTTTGTTTTATAATTTTTCTAACGGCTATATCCGTTAGGAATTTATGCAAATATGTTATAATAGAAAACCATTACAAAGATATTCCTAACGGACCCAAACCGTTAGAAATATTTATTTTTCTAACAGTTTATTAATTATTCTAACGGTTTACATCCGTTACAAATTATAGGCATAAAAATTCTAACGCAGTATTTCTAACGGTTTTACTCCGTTACAAATAATTTTCCTAACAGATATATCTGTTAGAAAATGTCCATTTTGGTGTAGAGACTAGGCCCATCAACCGGGCACATGGTTATTTTACTTTCCAAATAAAATTCTTAGACTGGCAGTGCCTTCACTTTTCATGAACCGTAAAGGCCCATTGTAAATCAGTCTCCAAATTTTACTTAAAGTAAAATCCTACCTCTTGTAAATATCAAATAATCATGCCATGGATGCGAAACGAATATATATTTATATACTCTATTGAGGTTAATTAGTAGATTTATCCATTGAATGTAATAGTAGTGTAGGAAATAAAATATTATTAATATATTTATTATCAATTAATGTGTCTAAATAAAATTTTTTTTTTCCACAATGACCAAGTCATTATTAAATAAACAAACTATTTATTTTAAACCATCCTATAAAAGAAAAATAAATTCCTTCTATTTGGAAGACACAAAATGATAATCTCTAAACATAAAATCCTACTTTCGATTTGAACATAATTAAATGTCACTACTATTATAGGTGTCACTGAGTGACAAGAAGCCTAATTACTAGCTGACGATTGAAGGATTGACTGAATATGACTTCTAAAAGTGCCTTCTTCGATCTCTAGAGGAGAGTAAACTCTATTTGAATTCCCCATAATAATTTCAATAGAAAAGATCATTTTCTTATTCAATTGAAAATATTAAAATTCAATAGATTTCTTTTGGATTAAGTTGATCTCGGTTTCCTACTGATCTTGGTTTCTAAGAGTTCATGAACTTTCAAAAAACGTATAGTCTTTCGAACATGAAGACTAACCAATAATCCAAATAAATATGCATGTATTCAAGAGGTTTTTAATATGGCTACAAATTAAAACATAGATCTAAATTTCTCACGTTACTAAGAAATTCACTATTATATTATTTGTACTTGCCATGGGCTCATAGCAGTGTTTCTATATACTGAACCAAAATTCAATATATAACACCGAACCAATTAATCGTCCTAAGAAAATAAATGAAGAACTAAATTTTCTTCCAAAAATTCACTTCATTTATTAACTCACGAATTTCCTCCGTTAAAATACATATTTAAATTCCTCAATCGAAAAGCAGTACTTAATATATTATTATAGGTCGATTAATCCTAGCAAAGTGAGTCTACAAAGTGGATCTATGGAATGTATCATTAATGGCTAGAGAATCAAACAAATAAACTTAAACTAAGGGCATCCTTAAGAACTCTAGATTGTCACTTAATATGGCTCCCTCAAACCAAATTTTGAAATCAACCGACAATCCATCACTATGAGGAACCGGTAGGCTACGGAGTGTAGACAGACTACAAGTTTTCAACAAACAGACATGTAAAACATCTTTAATTTTATTATCATTCCAATTCGGCGGCCTTGGAAAATAAAATTAAATAGTCGGTTACTTTGGTCCAATAAAATATAACAGGGACTTCGGAGTGAAGTATAGTTATAATTATATTTTATTGTTAAGTGTTTAACCATCAAATCATCTTTAAATCAATTGTTTTATGATATCCGTCGACTCGGAGTGAGACAAACATATCACTACAATTTCTTTAATAATTATCCGTTAGGAGACTTTTCTAGATAAGTCCATAATTAAAAGTGTCCGGAGTGGGAGCGGAATTCGATAAATCTCCTTCCTCACAATTAATTAATTTATCTTAAAGCCTATGATGGAGACCTTAGGATTTATACGTAATAAACTCCCCGATACACTTAATAATTTTAAAAACATTTTTAATGAGGGAATCTATGAAAATAATTACAATGCTCAATTTCTAGATTTTCTAATTATATGTCTTTGGACTATCAATTAATTTTAAATTGTTTATTCTATGATATCTATTTTCCACCATATGGAGAAAATAATGTATCACTATAATCAATTCCAAATTATCCATTAGGAGATTTTTCTAGATAATGTCCATAATTAATATGCCCGGAGTGGGAGCGAAATTCGATAAATCTCATTTCTCATAATCAATTATATTATCTAAAATCTATGACGATGTCCAATATAATTAATAATAGAAATACTATGGGCACCTATTGAGTGTGTTCTATTTCTATGTTCTCTGGATATATATCTCATGGGATCCTATTAATACACAAATTAATCATCCTATATGACAAACATAGAAAAACTACGGTTTTATCTATCCTACACCCGGTGAAGGTTACACCGGGTGATTTTTCACCGTTGATCTACACACACCAATGTGGGTGTGTGTGTGTTTGTGTGTATATTAATGGTAAAGATCTACCCGGTGTATTTCACCCGGTGTAGGATCTCAAAAGCCGAAAAACTACCAATCATGATAAATTTATCATGTTCAACGCAATCATCTATGTTATCTAATTATAATCCATGGTATCACATAAAAACATTTATAACCAAATATAATACACATAGATGAACATGAACATAATAAATTAAATGCAAATTTAAGCATGTCAAAGTTTCATGTTGTCCAATTATATGTCATGGGTATCACATAAACAAATTGAGCCCAAATATAATAAACATGAATAATGCATGCAATCATGTTCATAACAAATATAAGCACACATCAACCATAAAATATTAAATAAAACAATTTAATTTTCCGCTATTATGGTTAAGTTGGGACTCCCGGATTTAGACTCCTTAAAATTAGGAAGTCCAAAAGTCCCCGTAAACTCCAGAATTCTCGAATCCCGGGCTGCCCGGAACCGCTGCCCGCTGCCCGATGTCGAGACCCCGCGCGGTTGATAATTCTGGTGTTGTCCTGGAATTTCTAGCTTTGTTCTGAAATTAATATCTCTATTTGGGTAACTCCGATTCACGATCCGAACTGTCGGATGCTACGCCAATGAGTTAGGAACCTCCGGAAAAAAAATCAGCTCGATCCGACGGTGGACTAGGCCGAGATAACAGAAACGGCACAGTCGCGCAAACAATTCCGAGAACAAAATCTGCTCTATTCTATCTATGTAATTTCTATCTAAAACTCCTCTAGAAAAATTACAAAAAATAAAAATATCGTAGGCACACGATCTTCCATCAATATCATGCGATGGAAATTAAAACCGACATGTAACCACTCACGAGGCAGTGGGATCCATTCACAAAAAAACATAAATAAAATATTCATAACCATAATAGCGGAATTTCTATTCTGCAAAACAAAGTAAGAAATAAAACGCTATATGCAATATATGAATTTTCCGTTTCATGCAATTTTGGACAACATGTGAACCTCAAACGAATTAATCAAAGAAGCTCTGATACCAATTGTTGGGATGTGAAGTCCAGGATTCAATGAAAATTCGCAAGAGGTTCTAGATTAGCCGGTTTTAATTTTATTAACATGCTTTGATTAGATTCGTTTAAAGCGGAATAAATCTAATCTAGCAACTTACAGTTTTCGCGAGCAGATCTGTTTCTATCTTCGGCGCACGAACGAGGATCCACGTCAAGCCTTCAACATTCGTAAAAGTTGCTATCCAGAAATTTCCAGTCCTCTTCCTTCACCGATATCTCCACGACCGTTGATCCGATCGAGAAACCCTTCGAACGGATTGTAGATCTAAGGGCTAGGAAGCTACTCTATAAATTTGGAGCCTATCCGACGAACGGTTGATTTGTGACGAATTTCTTCGCAGGACTGCTCAGAAAATTCGGGAATTATAGTTTGCTCTAAAAACCTATAATCTTCTATTGTATATCCCGGATTAATAATTCTTCTACAAGGGTGGACTTGTACTTGAAGAAATATAAATCTATAATCGAGAAACTTAGAGAGAAAATAAGAAGAGAAAAATATTCTCATCTCCAGAACGTGAATAGGCGTGTAGGAATTCTTTCTCATCAACCTAATCTCTATTATATATAGCACAAGGAATTAGAGTCCCACATAGAGAGGATTACATGGAAACAAATCCCACTCCTTCTATAACTCTATATAGTCGAAAATTGCAGTCCTATGGGAACTTAATTTTCGGCTATATTAATTCCAATATATAATATTGGTTGAACTTTATTTTCTCGATTAATTAGAAAATCCAACGGGCTACAATAGTGACTAAAGGAGAAAATATAAATCGGGCAACTAATAATTAATTAAATCCAAACTCTTAAAAGAATTCATTTAATTAATCATTAAATAATTATTTATTTTCCACTACCAAATAATTATTGAACTCCCGTTTATATTCTCAAATATTACATTCGAGCTCCGGTCGATCATTACTTTGATTCTCCCCACATTAAGATATCTTATAACCACCAAATAATTTATTCACTGCTAAATAAATTCAATGGTTTCTTTTCATGAGTCTTACCCGCCTAACTTATTTGAGTATGCCGGATACGAAATCCACCTGGCCAGGACTTGGCATAAACAAATCTTATAAGCTACTCAAGGGTTATTATCAATCCCATATTTCAGAGATGTGGATTCCTTTCGATAATTAATTTCCACCTATTAATTCTTAATGTCTCTACCCAACGCACCGGGGGCCATTTGACTCAATATAGGAATCTCTCCCATTGTGACATCAAAGTAGAGATCATCAATTAAATGTGTACGTTAATTATCTAGGGATTAAGAGAGTAAGTAATATACTGTCAACTAGAAATAATACAGTTTCATTTATGAACAGTGATGAAACAATTATTTCACTTTGTCCGGTTCAACACATGCCGGGTGTGCTAGCACAATAAGTCAAAACAATAACTACAAAAGTTATTCTCTGTTTACTGTGATCAAGACCAATCACTTAAATATTGTGCTACAATCTTTTACCAATGGTTAGTCCATTTCCATCTAGATTGTGAACGTTTATCTTTATATTCTAAACGAACTTTCGAAATGATCTTTCTGTGCGCCGTAGCACACCATCTCGAATACTATTAGAATATTAGACTTATGCTTTTAATTAATTGACAACCAATCAATTAAATGCATTGAATACCCTAGTGCAGATTCTCATAAAATGATAATAAATTATTTTATTAATTCAATAATAAAATTATGAAGCTAAAAGCGAGACTTTTAGTCTACTATCCTAACAAATATGTGGGTTATAAAATTTAGGGTGTAAGGGCAGGATAGGGATTAGAAAAAAAAAGGATATGGGTCATATATTATTTCAATCTAAGGATTTAATTAAAAAATTGGAATTAGACTTGTCATTAGTTCAAATTAAGTTTCGTATGAGGGGCTCCTAGCACATTACCCCTATAAATTAATAGGTTATTACTACATTATACATGTAATATTAATCTATCACCTTTTCCATTTATTTAAAATTTCAAATAGATCATTTTGTTGAGAGATAATGTATACTTGAACAAATTATCAAATTTTAAAAAAATCAAATTTAAAAAAATTAGGGAAAATGTATATTTATACCACTGTCACTTGTCACATAAAAAAAATTAACAATATGTATTTCTCATTCGTCTATAATAAGAGGTGAATCCAGGTTTGTTTGGGAAGGGTGTTCGAAATTATGTTCAACAAAAAATATGAATAATTTATTTAATAAAAATGGCGAATTAAAAATGTACGGGGGTTCAGGGGCAATGCCCCCACTTTTTTTTAATAGTATACACATAAAAATATGCAACAACTTCAAGTATTAAAAAAATCTTTTGCAAATTTAATGATAATTTAGGAAATATTTGGACAGAAAATTGGTGAAATGGTTAAAAAATGGTACATAAATTAAAATTGCATGTAGCGAAATGCGTATCTACAAGCGAACATGTAAATTTTCAAATCTAATTTTATATAATACATATATAAAATGAAAAATAAAAAAATTTAACGATATATTTAGAACGTAATAATATAAATATATATAAAAATAACAAGACACTTATATAGTTAGGTGTCCAACCCTGATCCTCTCTATAAATTTAATAGATACTTAACACATACAAATGTATATAACATATAAATATATGGGAATATTGTTTTTTGAAAACAAGAATGTGTAGTTGCACACTTGCACACCCTAGACAAACGGTGTATCCGCGTCTAAAATACTTGTGGAAATATGTTAAATATAGGAATGAAATTATTTTAACTAATTAAAATAATCATTTTAAATGTATGATGTGTTCAAATTAATATTTTTTTTCGAAAACAAGGAAAAAATATCTTTTGTTTGTTAATTAATTCCTTAGTGGGGTTCGGTCAACATAAAAAATCATGAAAAATGAAATGTGAAGAGGTAAATACAGAATACACTGTGTGCTTGCTTGTAAAATATTCTATAACATATTGACAGAGGATTCATAAGAATATGAATTGTAAAATATTCTATAACATATTGACAGAGGATCCATAAGAATATGAATTGTAAAATATTCTATAACATATTGGCAAGCCGTCGATCCAATATTGACATGATTTTGTGATTTTAGACCAAACATCATGCATTTTGTGATTGTTTCACTGGTTAGTTAATGGTTAGAGATATGTAATAATTTATCTATATAAACAAGGTGCAGTTTGCAACTTATTCACATCAATCTTTCGTTTAATTCATTGCATTTAAATCTTGTATTTCCAAGTCTTGTGTGGCGAAAAGAGTAAAAAACAAAAATGAAAAGAATGATTTCGAAGTTTTTGGGCAAGAAGCCAATGGCCACGGCCTTAAGGTCATATGCATCTTCAACGGAGTCTTCTGCTCGGAACAGTAACGTGTCAGTTACCAACGCATCGGAATGTACCCCTCGAAGCAGTACTGTCACAACCATCCCATCCGAGTACACCCCTCGGAACAGTACTGCGGCGAGAACCACTCTACTCGATTCGTCTCCAAGGTACAGCACCGTGACAACGATCCCACCCGAGTCCCCCCCGAGATACAGTGTCGTGACCACCCCACCGGATTCCCCATCTCGTTACAGCCAATCATCACGAGGGAGATCAACTAGCCCACCAGACTCCCCGTCTCGTTATAGCCACTCATCACGGGGAAAATCAACCACCCCACCTGGTTCCCCGTCTCGTTACAGCCAATCGTCACGAGGAAGATCAACCACCCCACCTGGCTCTCCGTCTGGTTACAGCCAATCGTCACGAGGAAGATCAACCACCCCATCCGGCTCCCCCTCTCGAAATAGCCGACACTCTAGAGGAAAATCTCGCAAGAAGAGATCAAAATCTCAAAAGAGACAATCCATCGAACGTATCGCAATGAGGAGCCAATTCGTCTGTTGTACATGCCCAGAGCACCACGCCATAAAACGCATAAGCGCTAAGGCACTCGCTCTACACTATGAACAAAAGCACAACAATCTATTCAACTTGGGACATAGGTGCACTTGCGGCAACTTTTTCAAAGACGATAAAGCTCTTAGGAAGCACAAACGTAACTGTTTCATTTCAACATTCCCTACAATTGGACAGTTTCGCGATTATCGCATCGAAATTGTGAGGGCGGAAAACAAGTTGAAAAAATCTGGTGACGGTGAAAATGATGTGGAATCTTCCGGATCTGGTAGTGCACTACAAACTTCTTCGGATTCTGGCTCTCGAGATGGTGGTGATTATGAGGAGGATGATGATGAGGGTGATGAGAGTAGAGATGATGACGAGGATGACGAGGATTGAAGTGTTTAGTATCTACTGTTCTTCCTTAATACTTATTATTATTATTATTATTATTATTATTATTATTATTATTATTATTATTATTATTATTATTATTATTATTATTATTATTATTATTATTATTATTATTATGTTTACTGTTTACTGTTTAATTTATCTTCTTTAAGGTTTTAGGATTTAATTGTGTGTCAAGTTTGTAGGACTTATCTTCTTAAGTTTGTATTTAGGATTTATTCAAGTGTCATTATTATTATTATTATTATTATTATTATTATTATTATTATTATTATTATTATTATTATTATTATTATTATGTTTACTGTTTACTGTTTAATTTATCTTCTTTAAGGTTTTAGGATTTAATTGTGTGTCAAGTTTGTAGGACTTATCTTCTTAAGTTTGTATTTAGGATTTATTCAAGTGTCGTGTGTTTTGAATGAAGTACTTATCTTTATGTTAAGTTTATTTAATTTTCATCGTTATTCACAACAATCGTATAGATAAATTCTCAAATATCCTTAATTTTCAAATTCTTAATTATAGTAGTATATTTATAATATTGATATATTAATTTTCAAATGATCGATCAGCTAAAGATATATTAATATAATATCAACAAGATATAATTAAAACGTCAAAATAAGTTTGTTGTTTGTGCACGTTATCTAAATAAATCATTAATCACTCAAAAAGGGAAAAGCATAATAATATTCTGCAAAAATTGCTGATCTCTTCCTAATTTCTTTCAATTCTCATTTTTCCACGTTTCTTCTCAGAAGTCTTCTTCCGTTATATCACTTTAACTGTTAACCAAATTGAAGAATTCTTTACTACTAGAAAAATAAATAATACAGGTAAAGAAATATACTAATTAATCCATTTGAATTTCTCTTATAATATTTTTACTTTATTTTTATTAAATTAACGGGGCAGTCACGTCCTGCGACAGAGGGCTGAATGGAGGAGGATTTGGAGAATTGGCAATTAGGGTGGTGATGAAATAGAAGAAATGGCATATAGGACTCTCAGAATTTGGAGCTCTCTTGTATGCTTCCATGGACGGTTGCTCGTCTGACGTTGTTGTCGGATATCTTGCTCGTCTTGTGCAGCCACCATTTCTCGATATGAGGAGTTTGAAGAGGACATGCGCACGTCTCTTCTGATTTCCAGTTTGAGATCTTGCAAGAAGTGATTTTTTTTATCTTCGGCATATTTGGCAATGTAAGGGGCATAGATGCAACCTTGTTCAAATTTTCGGACGTATTCTGCTAAGGACGGATTTCATTGCTTCATATCTAGGAATTCTCTCATCTTCTGGGTTCGGATATCCTTGGTGAAATACTTCTCAAAGAAGCGAGTCTTGAATGTTCTCCAGTTGGTGTTGGTTAAATCGATGCCTTCCTTGGCGCCTTCCCATCAGTGTCGGGCTTCGTTCTTTAGCATACACAGTGCACAATGGATTCGGTCACCATTTGACATCTCCATGTAGTCGAATATAACTTTCAAAGATAAACCCCTCTTCGGCGACTGAGGGATCTGGGCCACCATGGAATTCGGTAGGGTGCATGCCTCGGAAACGTTTGTACACGGCTTGCGAGGCATTATTTCCGAGGAGGAGGAGGATGTTGTGGGTTAGTATTTTGGAGACTTATCAGGCGTTGGATTTGGTCGTTCCTTTCTCGGATAACAGCGGTAAGGTCTTGGACAGTGGAATCTTGGTTAGGCGGGTTATGGGTAGGGTTATTAGCATTCCTATTTTTCCATCTCGTCATTTTACTCTTTAATCTATATTATTCTATACTCTATACTACTTATAAAAGGAGGAATCACATGGTGGTTTCTTCCATTTTTTGATGAGACAAAAATAACCATAGATCCATCAAATAAATAAGGACATTTGAGTAATTTTAATTTGAAGTAATTAATGAATTATAGCTTACACAAATCAGAAAAGAGATTGTTCCATGTAAATCGGACACTAACAGATTTTGACTTTACATATAACCAGGAAAAAGAAAAAAGAAAAAGAATAAAAAAGAAATTCAAAGGTCTTAATTGTCCACATTAAAGAAAAATACAAAAAGGCCAAGGTTTCAGTTTCGTATTTGATTTTTTAGGGCATTGTGACGGTGTATTTCATGTTTCCATAGTGTGTTTCTCTCTCTTGCCACGTTTGCTAACAATCTACATGAATCCTGGTATAATTTTATTTGATGTTGTCAAAATCGATTATTTGGTAATATAGTCAATTACTGATTTGTGTGTTTTTTTTTTCAGAATTGCTGCCAGTGATGCGATTCAGGTTATTCATTGCCAAGGTGTTAAGTTGAGTTCAATTTCTTGTTCTGGTTCGAACGTAAGGTAAATTGATTATAATACTCATATCTTAACTTCTTCATGGTTACTTGTGTTTATCACAAAACAATTGTTGCCCATTCACTAAAATTGATAGTTCGGTACAAGTCTATTTTGTAATTGATAATTCTGCAAATGTTTTTCTTTTAAATGTGTAGCTATATATATAAATATAAAATAAAAAGGGCAAATTACGGCCACCCCTGGTGTATGGTCAAATTACGAAAAAACCCCTCTTGTTCGGGTAATTACAGCCACCCCCTCCTTTAAAATATTCTTACATAAAATTTATGTAATTTGGTTATTTACCGAACCAAATCGTATATTTTGTTCGGTAAATGGTATGAAATGTTGGCGTACCAAAATTTTGGTCCGGTTTTACCGAATTAACATCCCTAAATTTACCTCTGAAGGGGTCTTTTCGTAAGATAAATACATAGTTGAGGGGTGGCTTTAATTACCCAAACACGAGGGGGGTTTTTGTAATTTGACCATAGCTTAGGGGGTGGCCGTAATTTGCCCAAATAAAAATAAATAAATAAATAAATAAAATTTAAACCATAAGTAGTTCTTTCTATAAGTCTGATATGAGCAGGTGTGCCATCCTTTTTGTCATAAAACATGAGCATTTTATTTTGCCAATTTTATCCCTGTGATAAAAAAATAACTGATTCTAAATTTAATTTAACTTGGATTATGTATAAAATTAGGACAATTGTTGAGGCAAACCAAATATTCACCGCTTTGGTAGTTGAATATCCAAAGAACATAGATTTTCTCTAGCACCATTTTGAACGTTCTACATATTAACATACATATTATATGGATTTATTGCATTCGACATTTATATATTTTACTCTAATGTCAAAAAACTTACTCGTGTTATGTTCATAAGCAAAAGCCCCACAACATTCAACTTTTTTTTTTAGCAAACTACTTCTAAAAACATATCATTTAGGGATTATGTGCTAATTAAAAAGAATGCATTGTAGGGTAATTTTCACTAATAATATTAATAAAAGAAAAAAAATGAATATTTTAGGAATCCGAAATAACGTAACAACATTTTATTTTACAATTCACACTATGTTGAATACTAAGCAAATGCAATTTTTTTTATCGAAACGACTCCCTTCGAAACTTGACTTCACACTCTCTTTTAATACAATTAAACTCACAATTGAACTATTTTTTTTGAAATGGCAGACTCAACAGCCTCATAACTTGTAAGTTGTAACTAAGGTTGTTCATAGGTCGGGTCGGTTGAATATCGGCCGATTATCGGCCCGACCCGACCAACCGACTATTGCAAATATGCAAAACTATTATCGGCCCGACTATTGTGGGTCGGGTAACGGTTGGCAACCGACTTTGTCGGTTGCCGAAACAGTTCAGTTGCAAATTATCGGCCGATATCGGCCACATTAAAAAAAAAAGTCGGATTTTCAATTGATGAGGAAAAAAAAATACTATTCTCATTAAATAATTCTCGAGAAAAACTTCAATTTTTTTTTTACTCATAAATAGTATTCTAACAAATATAAAGAATCCCACATATTTATGTTATAGATATATTCTGGCTTGTTTCTTCTCGATATGTGTTTTCTTCTCCTTCCAACAATTATCAAATATTTTGCTTCTGCTTATATTACTTTATGTGTTCTTGTGTAGTCATATCTTTAAAATTCTACTATGAGATACATTACAACTCATTCTATGGAAGTAAACTCTCATTTTCTTTCTCCGTATTTCCGAGAGTAATGTCAGATAAGAATAGGATGCTGACATAAGAAAGTTTGTCTTAGTTGTTGTCCTTATTTTAATAGGATTACCATCTATAAACCAAAAATCATTTTTTTCTTGATGTTTTTATTATGACTTTTGTGTAGTTGTAGAAGGGTAAAAATACGTGTTAAAGGTGCATGAATTACGATATTTAGAGCGCTACATTTCTTCCCTTTTAAGTATATGGATAAAAGAACTAATTTTACTCACAAATCCTAATGTGAACTCGCAGTGAGAGAGACCCTCAACATATGTTCTATTTCCTGTTACTAAACACGTTTCCTATGTTGAATAAAATTTTGACACTTCCTCATATATGTATTCAGGCTCTCTTCTAATTTCCTACTTAATGCTGGGAAGCTATTTACTGAATAAAAATATTTTTTACCCAGTGTATAAGAAGATTAAGAAGAGTCATGGGGCTCTATCAAGTTTTTTAGGCTCTTGTCAGGCTTCACGAGCCCCTCATTCGATATGTCAATTTCAATTCAAAATGGGTAAGTCAATGGTTAGTCAAACTAGACATATTCACACCGAACCTTTGTCTTATTATTATTATCGTCAATGCATTCTTGACCGCTTGCTATTTTTCAAAGAATAAAACAAGTATCACTATGAGAAAGAACACGTACTGTGACAACTAAATGTGTCACTAAAGCCACATATTGTGACGATTTATCTATTGAGAGGGCTACAAAATTGTCACATGTGCGGGCGTGATAATATCATTTTGTGATGCCTAGATGTAAGCAATTATTGGTTGAAGCAAATATAATACTGCAAGTAAGTGTGACATTGTTCGTTTTTGTTTTTATTTCTTCCATTTTGATCTAATATTGGTTGAAGCAATTATTAATACT